CTTTTTACCGAGGCGCATGTGGCTGAAGAGCCCCATGCGGTTACTGAATGTCAGTGGGCAGTGCACGCAATTAAGGCTGGTGCCATGGGTGTATGCTGGGCTCATGGCATTGGTTCGCTAATTTCACTGCGATGGGTCCGCAAGTGACCGGTCAAACCGATGCGTGACGTGGCGGCGCGATCGCAATGCGAACAGGCTGTGACCGAGTCTGCATTTCTGACGAGGAGGGTAGGAGGTGGGTGGTAGGAGTGTTCTCATACGTTGTGGGGGTGGTCGTCATCGTCAGCGCGGAGCTTTTGGTAGTTGTGTTTGAGCACCAAGAGGTTGCTCGCCATAAGGTGGTCGTCGATGTAACAGGGGTTTCGGCAGTGGAGGTGGGAGCGGTTTATGGGACGGGAGGAGGGGATGTCACGAACCGCTGGACGTACCACAATCCGTCTACCACCCCGTTCAAACGCATAGTTTTGAGTGAGATGAACGTGAATATGAGGGTCGTAAATAGCGATGCCGATGATTTCTGCAATGATAATGATTCCACCAATGGCATGGCTAGAAGATATGGTCGAGACAAAGGCGGAATGACGCAAAGAGCTCATGCGTGTTCATATTCAACAGCATCAAAACACACTGAGCGTCCGTCTTACAAGCTCAAAATCTATCAAACCCTTTGTAAACTAGGGGAGCATATTGCATAAGAACAAAACTAGAGGAACTATACAAGGGACCTCGCAGAGGCAAGCCCTTAACGTACTTTGAAAGCTGTAAGACTCGACAACCAGTAAATTTTCGGAATAAAAATTTGAAATGCAGAAAGGAACAAAAAAGGAGATGCATTAATCACACTCCCATCTTCACTACTTTCACCAGACAGAAACTGAGCCGAGGGCTTGTATCATAATGGTTCTTATTCAAATTCCAGGTGGTCCATCACAGAATAAATAAGTAACTGGAAAGTATCACGGCGCACGTGAAATATCACATTAGGGGGTCCCTGGTCTGATGGACGCAATTATTTGAGTGAGAGAATGTGCATATACATATGTTAAAGGACAAATACAAACAAAATGGGGATCTAGGAAATAACGGCTATGTAGAGGCGTGGCGCGTAGGAATTCTGCAGGAGTCTCATGCTCCGTCTGGAAAGAGGGGAAGGGTCGGAGGAAGAAGACTGTGGAGATGGAAGTGGGCGCGATCAGAAAAAAACGACAGGTGGGGATAAATGCGTGCTCTATGACCTTGATTTGGAAGTAAAATGTTGGTCACACAGAATAAAATAATATAGTGGGTTGTTTGCACACGCAAATACAAGCAACAAAAATCAATAAATGCAAACAACTCGATGGGCACTTTCAAGGTGGAAATGCGAAATCGTAGGCGCACAGGATAGAGACTGTTGCAGTGGAAGGGGAATCCGCGGCGGGACGACGGATACATTTCTCCACTGAACCCTCCTCGTCGTTACTGGGTTGGGTAGGGTTTCACAGATGCAGACGAACAAATCTGGCCGAGTGGATGGAGGGTGGAGGGAATTCGACATCAGTCCCGGTGACCGACTCGTATTACGTGCTCGACTTGGCCTTTGCATAGAGTACAATAAAACACAGAACTCGAAGGAAGATGAAGAATATATTCAGGACGGTAAAGTCGATGATAAAATTGTAGCTGCTAATGTTTAGGAATGATAGAACGGACTGCGGATTTGGAATGCAGGGAATGGAGACTGGAGACCGCTGACTTTTGGTACAGTTTAGCGTACTTCTGTTTCCTCCATAGATGCCCTACAAGAGAAGTGAGAAAAAAATGCGATCGGCTATGAGATGCTTCGATATCACCTCAAATCAACCAACCTACATAGAATTACGAATATGCATTCCCAGTGGACATCCTTCCGATGTAAGTAAAAACAAGGCCAGTGGATCGCTCTGTTTAGGCTTCCATTTAAAGTGAACAAAGCGTATTTGGCGAAACATACAAAATTACATGGTGGTAAACAGTTCGCAACATCTTATTCGACGGCGAGCAGCCAATGCATATTCAAAAAAACCAGCACACCAGGAAAATAGTGTCAGTCAGAACTGTGAGAGGGTTGATTCGAGGAGGGATAGTATGCACGGTTCGAATGAAAATGACCTGACGAGGATGACGGTTTTGCATGACCCTCTGAGTACTCCATGTTCGAGAGTGGTTGTGAAACAAACGTGAACACACAAGGCCTTCAATCCACGGATGGGCAAATTACTTGTTATGCGACGTCTAATAGACACAGACCACAAGTCCAAGGGGAAAATAGAATCAGCGTCTTCTTCCATACAGCCAAATCGGTGGCCGATTTGACGGAAGTTAAACAATATGCGACGACCACGCAGACAATCGCAACCCCAAAAATGTCATTCAGCACAACAATTTTTATTGATATATAACAACTAATTTGGTAATGCATTCGAATGTTAATGGCTTGTGGCGGATGTTTAAAAGTAAATTTAGGGAGAGGTTATAATGCTTCTCAGTCCCAGGGCACGCCAGAATATCGATATACCAAACTTACTCATAGCACTTACAATTTTACGATTCCAGGACTGTACATGGCAGAGGCAATAAGCCTGATTTGGTAGAAGGCTACGTATGTCACGCCTATTGTCGGTTTAGCTTGTGACCTCCCCGTCGGTAACCGAGTAGCCAGATCTATGCCAAGTCACATCTAAAGGTAGTGCTGCCACACAGCTCGCGTATGCTTATTCATACGGCCAGAGAGCCTACCTTGATTGCAGGTAGTTTTCGCCGAAGCCCATTTAACAATCCGTCCCTCGCAGACGCTTCTGGCAGCCCACGGCCAGGATAAACGTCAGACCACAATATTACAGAGGTCCGCCTCATTTTAGCCCGACTTGGCGCGACTATAGCGCGGCCAATTCCGTCTCATTTTACTTTGGTGCCGGGGTCTGCGGCTATGGGAGTCGGCCGCACGGCGAATTGAAGTCGGCACTCGTGAATAAATGCAAAGAAAGTGTAGAAAGAAATGAGCTCTATGTTTTTGTCCCGTCGAAAACAAACGAAATATAACCCAATCCCAGGCTCAGAAGTCATGGCACTTTACCCGAGCAATGTTGGTCCTCTTATACGTCCTCACACAAACACCAAGGCTCAGGTCTCTGTCCCATGAAAGTATCTAATAAGGGACCTACAGCATTCTCCAGAACGCTGTCCACGAAAAGTAAGTAAACCCAACTCTTTGAAGGTCGCGAATGACGTGAAATACTAGGGGCAAATTGAAACACGTAAAATCATAACCCATACACAAGGAACGCCGTCGCCTGGAGGGTTTGTGGTGTTGATCGTAACGGCAGAGGCCCCCCCCCTTCTCATCGATAAATCACAAGTCACATGGGAGTAGCATACACCCCATTACACTGACTGTAGGTCATAACGAGCGTAGCTTGTTTTCGTGGCGACGAAAACCACAGCCCTGACGGACGGGCATGCAGTGGTCGGAAATAATCCATTATGTCTGAAGTGGCTATTTCGGGCTTATATATGTCGTTGTTGAGGTCTTCAGCGGGGCAGATCGTAGTATCCCAACCGAAAGTTATGAAAACTCCAGACCTCACAGGGATACACCTGACCCTTGGTCTTAACACTCTAGCAGTTGAACTAAGAAATCACCATCCGTCCGCTCCACTCAAAAATATTGATTTTAACATTTGGTCGGCGCTCATGGTGCCGACCAGATTGCATGCCAGAAGACAAAACCCCGCATTCACCTGCAGTCCAAAGACATCACCAGCGATCCCACGGGGCGGAACAAGTAGACCCATAAACGTAATAGTCAGATCGTCGCAAGGGAGGTGCATCATCACTGTTCCGCGAGATAGGCGTTATAGCGGAACTGACCTACACTACGGCCAACTCAATCTCTATTCACACACCTCCCACAGTGTTCCAATGATAACACAAACTCAACACGGCCGCAGATTAGCATGGACGAGTAGTAATGGCAAAGCTTAATAGTCCGCCTACTTGTGTCGCACATGACCTAGTCTCCTACTCCGAATGAGTGCGACTTAAAATAGAGAGCAGAGGGGGTTCGGACATTAAGCAATAGTGCAAGGGCATGAAATCCCTATCTAAGAGGAGACAGTAAAGCCTGGACTGAGAAAGAACGCGTTATTCCGTCAGTTGGCAGATTTCCAAGTCCTAGCTGTCGTCGCGTAGTGGAAGTTTCCTGGCGCCCTTCTTTGGTTATATTAAATCAAACGCACGCCTCGTCTAGGCACTATATCAGAATCATTCCATCTCTTCCCACACAGTGGCTTATCCGCCTCAAGCTGGTTGGCTCTGAAGTTAATAGCAGGTGTTGACACAATGAAGATCAACCATCTAACGCGTGTCATGTACGGGCATGTATCTCGCATACGCGAGAGGTGCCATAAGGGCTTAATTGGCAGCCAATGAAGTTGACCCTCGTTCCACGATCGGGCGACCTATCCCGCCAATGAGCCATCTTCGATGCCACCGCTGTCACCGTGTCGTGATAGGTTCAAACACACTGTGCGGAATGTGCGGATTTGCCATGAGAAGGGATTCCTCATAACCGGCCAGAACCTCTTCTTCCCCCTCTTATGCTATAATGACTTGCTCGAGGCCTTCGGGCGGCCCTTGAGGTAATTTGACGCACTGGCAGGCATGACACGAATGCCTCCTTCTAACGCGTGCTGCACGCAGGTGCGGCAGTAGTAATTGACTCATGCGGATTATTTACACTCTGACAAATGTACGTCATGAGGCGGCAGCGCGATTGGAAGCATTTCTTGGGCGTACTCTCACAAAATGCTTGTCGATCTCAAATTCCAGTTCTTCATTAAGTGTGGTAGCATCGGCGGAAATGCTTATTTGTCCTGGTCCATCAGAGCATCCAGTGAGGTTCTTCTCAAATGAAAGACACGGCTCCAGATCCTAAAAACTTCGATAAATTTTTGGCACAGACCAAACAGAAAACGATTTCCCAGAAGTGCGAGCAAACATTAAATTACCTGTGAGCATGCATGGATAACTGGGAATCATGGTACAATCGAATAAAATAATACGCGGATTGTTTAAACTCTAAAAACCTTACGGACACAGTTAGGTACATTGTTTTCGTACCTGAATGAAATAAAATAACCATGAATTTCAATAGTAGTGAAAATGCGATTCCCGAGTGGCATATCAAAAGAAGAGGAGGCGTTCACCGGGAGAGGTGTGTGCACGACTGCTCAGTCTCTGAAGATGGGTAGAAGAAACGACTACCCGAAACGTCAGACCTCAAATACACCTCTCCCGGTGAACGCCTCCTCTTCTTTTGATTGACCATGAATTTCTTATTTTTTGCCATCAAGTGGAAAAGATTGTTTAGGTGTGATTGTAGAATGAATTAACGCAAGACCATGATTCTGAATAAATTCCTAAACAGCCACCTGATCGTATTTGATCAGTCCACTTCCCAGGCAGCCAACGATTCGCACTCAGAAGAACTCATTACTTCGAAGTCATATATTTTTATACGGGTTCTGGATGCATGCATAAGTGTCATCATGTCTTATCCAATAGACACAAAAATGATTCAACTCCTTGCTTATTTTATGGGAAATTATTACTTCTTCAAATGTTAAATTTTGAAGGATGCTGTACTAGTGTCCTGAAAAAGTTCAAAAGTATGATGTATCGTTTGCCTCTTGGTTAACCTCCGCATGCCGATTCCTGTTGCTCATCGAACAGGCGATGTGATCCGTACATACTGTAATTCACTACGGTAGTAGGAGTTCTTCCTACATGAACGGACACGGTTATGTGGATTTATCTCGGGCAAAAATTAAGAGGACAAAACCCGAAAGGCATATGATGACGCGAAAACGTAGACTGAGTTTTCAAGTACACAGATGTTAGAGTAAAAATGTTTTCTTTCTTCGAGAAGAACAGTTTTCAAAATACGTGCTTCAAGAATACGTGTTTGGGGAAACGAATCTTTTATGTAGCTCTTCCTAAAAAAACTATGATTGAATTGATACGGACACCGAGATGAGTGGACACATTGAACATCACCCGGGTTGGGCTTTCTCCTGATTTTAATTTGCAAAGAGGTCTGGGGAGAGGTTTTTCCAAGAGCTAGCATGCTGTCGTGTAAGAATTAACTTTAGATTGCAACCTCGACCTTTTCCACGGAAAAACGTGTCTAGAGATCGCAGTCTGGTGCTCAGGAATTTTAAAGCATAGCGTAGGCTGTGGGTTATTCCTTATCATTTGTATTAAAGTTTTCCCAGGCGAACTTATGTCTTTGGTTAGAGTCTAGTTAGCATTACATGAAAACGCTACCCACGTATAAGCATAACGTCAAATGGTGCAGAAACTGTAACAAAAATTTGTCCCAGTGTGTGGAATTAATCGACTGCCTGGAAATTAATGCTTCACTACTACTTTCAGTATTCTGACTGACGTCCCAAAATATCTTGACAGAGCCACTGCCTAAAAGTGTGCTATATTTTAAAATTTATGCTCACTAATTTTGTAGGCAATGAGTGTCATACACTAACGATAGGTGATGAATACACCAGAACAGACGTTACTAAAACAGTAACCATACATGTGTGTGCATAAATATATAAAATGGTAGGGGACGCTCACCGATCGTTCTTAAGGAACTCACTCGTTCCGCTGTGCCTTATGGCCTCTCTCTCGAGCCCAACCAACAGACGTACAGCGGCGCATGATATAGCCAGTATGTTATTACCGAAAAAGACAAGGGAGACTGGAATGGCCATTTATGGCTTATTAGTCGTCGTCAGCCAATCATACTCAGCCCCGAAGTCTGGAACACCTGGGGCTCGATCCCGCAAGCTGTTGATTAAAATTCAAACGCCCCTAACCACTGAACCACGGGCTCGCTGTCCTGTCAGTTGCGATCGGGTATATACAATGGTAAAAAGGAGTTCACTGATCGTGTTGCGGACTTCACTCGTCTCATATGACTGGCTGACGACAATTAAAAAGCCAAACTGGCCATTTCGGTAATGTCATTTTGTCATCTATTGCAGCAGGAAACGCTGCACCACGTGCCCAACAGCAGAATTTCACGGTACCTTTTAGGTCTGCTGTCGAATTATAGATGTCCGATAGTGGGAAAACGTCCGAAGGATGGGCCTCTTGGCAAACTACTACTGGATAAAGTGAGACTTCCAAAAGATAGTTAAATATGGATACAATGGGCGAGAGAATTGCTAAATCACCTTCATTGCACCCTCAAAAGCATATCGCGTGAAGGAACTGTAGGAGAGCCACTGGAGGTACTTTGGAATTGCATCAAGAGTGACAAAGAAACCCGAGAAGAGCAAGATCGGAATTCCTGTCGCCGGGCCGAGAAACACGGCAACCTAAAAGGCAACACGATGACAGCCTAGACATTTTAACGATAAAATCGTTATGAAAACTTGCAGATCTCTCCAAACTATGGTCAAAATTGCCTTCTCAGAAGTGACAATCGGGAAAATCTACGACTATCGTCCCTCTTATGACACAGGCCACGAAAAATACTCCCCAAGTTCGGACGCGGTGCACTAATAGACCTCAAAGCCCACAAATTCATCGTCATCGTGCTCGCGGGCCAGAAGCGTTCCACCGTTCTATTGGACAGAAAAGACAACCTTCAGAGGGTCAAAAACCTACTGGAGAATCGTCAGTTTTAGGTCTCATGCGAACCAACCTCGTAAAAGCTCCGACACCCGAAACTAATGCGACGCTTTTTGCACTGGAGAACTCGGGTGCAATAACACTGACAGGCGCATAGGGATAGCTCAACAGACGGCATTAGCCAGGTTCCATGGCCTCCCCAAGGTGCATAAGAATGGCTCTCCTCTTCGGCACATCGTATCGCTCAAAGGCACTCAAACGTATGGACAGACAAAGTGGCTGTTTCGGCGTCTTGGTTTGGACACAACTGTCTGTTCGTCAACACAGCACTTGGATCTTAAAGGGTCAAGTATCTTGCCAAATGAGATAATGGTATCTTTTGATGTCACGTCCCTCTTCTGTCCCCCAAGATCTGGCAGTTGAGACCGCTGACCTACTCCTACGAGGAAAATGCGATGAAAAGGAGAATCGACTCGGACACGCGCAGGCCCTTCAACTCCTAAAGTTCCGAGGACCTGCTACACGTTTGACGATTAATCTACAAGCAGGTGAAAGAAAAGCCAATGTGTTCACCGACTTTGGGACTCATAGCCGAGGCGGTCCTAGAACAGTTAGAATCGCTGGTGAGAATCACTCCCAGCCCTAAAAATCCGCTAATTTTGGTCCTTAATCTTTTCGTTCAATTGCCTGCTCTTCCGCACTACTAAAACTCGCTAAAAGTTCCCCTAGATATTATAAGGCCTTTTCTTCCGGTTTTTTTTCGACCCATTTACAATTTGCATATAAAGCCAAACGCAGTACTTTAGATGCTGTTGCTCTTGTGGTCCATTCTGCTTTAAAAGAATTAGATAAGAGCCGCCGCGAGTACGCAAGTGCTTTTTGACTACTCCTCCTTCAATACCGTCCCGCGCCCTCTTCTCCTTACCAAAACATCCGCGTGCGACTCTCCAGGCTGGGTCGTCCCTTGGCTTAGCGATTATTTTACTTCCCACACTCAATTTGTCCATTCCGGCAAACGGAAATCTACGGTCGTTCCCAATGACTGCGAAGTTCTTAAGGTCCCATTCCATCCCCTCACCTTTTCTCCCTCCACACTGATGATCTCAAATCCCCTAACAACTGCCTTTTGGTTAAGTATGCCGATTCTGTGGTTTTTGGACACCCTCTCAAAAACCAGACTTACCTCCAGTCTCTAAAGGATGGCCTTAACCATGTCCTGGTATGGTCGGAGGAAAATGGTCTCCTAATGAACAACCAAAAATCAGTTCAGTGTGTTTTCCGACTGCGGCCCTCTCCTAGTCCCGCATCTTCTGACATCCTTCCCAACGATGTATCCTCTGAGGTACCTCGGTGTTAATTTGTCCTCAAATCTTTCATTTCCCCCCATATTGAGTCCCTATCTACTAAAGTTAGTAAACTTCTTTATTACCTTCGTCGTTACGTTCCTACCACACACCTCAACCCTTAGTCTGATGATTCATAGATGCCTGCGTTCTTCCTCTTACCCTATATGGCTTTCCTGTCATTTTTCCTGCTTTGCTCAAACAAGATCTTCTACTTTTGATACGCGTCCTCCGAATGCTCTCCTCTGCCGCTGGTGTTTCTTATATCTTTTTAGTCGATATTATCCTGCAACGACATTTCAATAAGGTCAAGCAATTTGCTGGTCGAATTCTAGATGAGGTTGCCCATCCCTTGTATTCTGATCTTATCTCTGCGAAGTCTTCCCACCCGATGCGCCGCGGCCTCCGACTTATGTCTTGTCGCAAATCGGCTTTTCGAGATTCTGTTTCGCCACTCCTGGCGTGCTATCTTACGTGTGAAGAGATAGAAATACAGAAGTTAAGACTTGAACTGTCCCCATAATAATCGGTCCTTTTGCGTCAAACGTTTTGACCCCGGACGAATCTGTTAACTTATTTACTGCCCACTGTGAATGGAGCCAATTTTTGCTGAAAATTTTGAATTTATAGTTTCAAAATAAAACGAATTCCTCCCTCTCTCTCCCTGGTCTTCCAACACCGCAGACCGAAATTCTGGGCCTGGTATGTGGATGATTCCTTCCTCGTCATTGAATGGAATCAGGCGGTAACGTTCAAAGAACGTCTTAACAGCGTCTTCCCAGACATACAATTATGGATGGAGAAGGAAGGAATGGTAAATGGAATAGTAACGTCTGCGACGGAAGAACGATGCGATATGATCGCTTCTCAACTCTGAGCTTAGGCCATGACAAACAAGGGTAAGGTGAGGAGTAACATCTACCATCGCTTGTCAACTCTCTGAGCTGAAGATATGGGAAGTAATGGTAGATGAAATAGTAATGTCTGCGACGGAGGACCGAAGCGATACGATCACTCCTCTACTCTCTGACCGGAGCTCATGCAGTGCGATGGTAAGCTGGAGGGGTAACGCCTGTGACAGGTTGAAAAGATTAAGTGGGCTAAAATTTATTGAAATCCGCGCGGAAAATGTGTGCTACAAGATAACTTAACGGCCACGAACAAACAAAAGCGGAAGGGCCAAACCGAACGCAAAGTTCATGATTAGAGCATTACTCAACAACCCACGACCTATTTAAAAAAGTAGATTAGGCAGTTTTTATGTGGGACAGATGTTTGGGGTCCTACAACCTGCCGTTCCCCGCATTCCAGTGAGCCGGAAGACAAGGTTGCTATATTTCAATATCTTCGACGGGTGTCCAGAGAAAACGGCCACCCGCGCAACTTCGTCAGCCGGTGCATGCGTGAACGGGAAGAGTGACTAAATCGTACCAGCGTCAAATTTTGGTGAGCGATTCGTACATCACGAACGTCTCCGAGGCCGTCAGCCATTTTCTCGCACCACTTGGAGTTGCATACAGACCGAGGACAACCACTAGGCGTCAGGTGGTGAAACCAAAAGACCCACTGCCACGGCAAGAAATATTCAGAGTCGTTTGTCGGATCAACTGCAGTTGCGGACAAATCAACTACGTCGGAGAAACCAGAAGACTGCTCTGGACGCGAATCACGGAACACGCGACAGCAGTGCAGAGAAATAACGTCAACTGTCAATTCGCGGCCCACTCGGCGAGACCCAGCCACACATTCAAGTTCGATGAGGCCGAAATTCCCGCGAGAGGTGATAATCACGTGAGCTGCGAGGTGCATGATTTAAGGCTCTCGGGGCCCAGTCTATCAACAAGTGTAACGAAATTCCACCCCGTATTCATTGCTGAGACTTAGTCTGTATAAGTATTTAGCCACTCGGGGAATACGCAATCATCAGGACCAACATTCAACACGGATGATGGAATTTCAGCAATCAACAACCTGCATGCCGGCCATCGAACAATTAGCGCACCAGCGGGCAACCATCCTTGATGAGGAGGAGGGCAGTTTCGTGCGCACTGAAGAGTACAACGCTTGCCTGAAGCGCCTGGTAGCATAATCCAAGCATAGAAGATTGAAAAATTCAGGAGAGAAGTCAATTTGTTATAAGATATTTCGAGGGACCCGGGCTCCGCGTGAGTTTACTCCGAAGCAGGATTCAGTTATACGGGGCAATTTGACCACCAGGTCCCTACGCCGACAGCTTAGGGCAGCGTACTTCCTTCGACCGACGAGACCTCATTATCGGGTTTAAGACCGTGTGAGAGAACACTATCTGTCGCTAAGCTCACAAAGAGATTTCAGTGGACGCCTTCGATTATTAAAGTTAACTTCTCTTCCTACACCTTCACGGTTCTATATGTAACAACCTCCACCCAGAACCTTACCCTCTTGAACTAGTTGCTGGTTTACGCGCCAATCATTTATGGAAAGCCGCGTCTCCGTCGTCCAACTTCCCGTTTTGAATGAGCGCACTCGAAACTCAAAGGATCAACAACTCTGAGATGAACAAGAAGGACCAGGTCCTTCGAAATATCGCCTAATGGAATCTCTTCGTCTATGGACTCTTTTCTGGACAACAGCTGCGGAATGGCAATGAGCGCGCAGACTATCTTCTGTCTGCCTGTTTGGCGTTAACCCTTTTGACAAAAAGTGAACAAGAAAACCATGTCGCGTGTAAATCAGTCTCAAGGCCATTGTCTTCACTGTCAGCAGAGACGACATCGCATGGCCAAAAGTCAGTCGTAGTATTGTTTTATTAAGCAAACATTTTCGCTATTGGGCTTCAGGAGTTCGAGTCAAAACCGCGCAATAGGTGCTCATCAGGAACCTGCGAAATGTTTAAGAAAGCGGTGGGCGAAAAAGCGAAAAAGGAAGGACGGTGACGGCAAGCACAAAATACTACAAAAGGGCAAACAGGAGGGAAATACAATGCATATGCATGTCGGGAAGATCAATGGCACCGGAATAACTAACCGTAACATAGCAGAACATTGACGAGAAAAGTAAACAAACATTTCGAATTCTGGAAAAACGAAAAGTGACTATGCGCTTGTTTTTATTTTTTTTATTTATTTGTTCTTCGAAATCTCCACAGAAAAAGTAAAAAAGTGCCGATATATGCTGCCGCCGCCGGATGACATTGGTGAAACACGGTTAGGCTATCTGACCAGAAACTGGGTCATTTCTTCTAATAAATGGGAGGATGACAGTATCACCGAGCAGCTTGCTTTGAGCTAACGACTTGGATAAACGCGTAATCGTAAGTCTGACCTAGGATTTTGACGAATTTGACGGAAGGAAGGCTATTATTTGCGATATCTTGGTACAGTTATGAAAGAGGCGGCCCATGCTAGGGTACTAAACCTCTCTAAACTGCGCTTGAATGTAGAAGAAGGACTGGAAGTTGATGCCCGTGCCCCATTGACGGTGGCATTACGTGACGCTCCATTAGATTGTTGTGTGTCGGTTTCCTTTACTGTCAGACAGCATCCAATTTGCGTACCAAGATAGAAAACGTATTCCCTGGAAATCTCAGCTTGATGATTAACATGTATTGTTAGAAGGACGTCGTAAAAGGCACATTAACGGGAAGACAACAGGGGGGAATTAACTTTAAGGCTAGTTGCCGCCTTTTAAGCCACTTTTGGCTGCAGACTTGCCTTTGGGGCAAGGCTTGCAGCGCAGAGCATAAAGACGACATGCGTGCATGAGGTAAGGAAGAAATGAATGAACAGCGTTTGCTCGAATTATGGAGATGCATAGAAAAAAGGGTGGCGACAACTACATAGCATTAGACGCGCAATAGGTTAGTAAAGACAACAGCAGACCTATTACGGAGGAGAGAGCGCAGGTACTCATAACTTTAATTACGGTCAGCCTTAACTGAAAATGCGAAACGGTAGGACGTTGTGTGGGTAGGACTGGGGTCGGTAGATTTGCGTTTAAGTAAGCACTGCGACCTTAGCAGAGAAAAGGCTTGAATAAGCAAGAAGTGCGAAATATGCTACTGAAATCTCACATTTCCGTAACGCCGACCGGTGTGGATGGCGAGCATAATTTGTGAAACATTTTTGAGTCTACTATTCTCCCAGTAATGACGTTTCAAGCCTGAAGAGCACGCGATCAGTCCCTGGGGAAAAGTCCTAGAATATGCATAAGCTATAAACGAGGACGGTCCTTGGCATACAATAATTCGTCGGTCAGGAGGGAGGGAGGGAGGAGAAACACCACTGCCCTAGGAGAGCAGTGGTGACCTGAACATGAGTTGGGTCACTTCCCCTATGTTTCCGTCTCATCCGGTGCCAGTACTGTTCTGATGGCAAGACAATAACAAGGGGGTTGAAGTTAGACGTAGATGAGGTGAATGACGCGGAAGAAGCTTGGTCGAGGCGTGTCACATGATAACCAGATTTCGATAATCCAGATGGTTCGTCAATGGGGGCTGCCATCAGGACAACATTAAGTCGTTGTAGTCTGGCTCTCAGTCCCGAGGATAGAATTGCCTCACCAGTTGGCAATTTATAGCCTATAGGGGCGTCTAGGCAGCTAAAATGCCTTACATTTATCTCGTGAAGAACAAAGGGCGCAGGGCTTGTTTGAATCCCTCTTCCATCGTGCACTAGTGACACATACAACTGAAGACAAATAGACGTAAATAAATCGTGCGTGGGACTGAAGCAACGTAATGCCTCTGTTACGCGTACGCCGAACACTTGTTTGGCTCCCGTTTAGAGTTGGTGTAAGAACATCGCCCAGTTTTGGAGGCCTATGTCGCGTAGCCACGTGAACCAACGCAGCACTAATTTCAGGAGTGGTCTGTGAGAAAGATGGACGGAATACCGTAAGAAATGCCCATGAGGTTAATTGACAAAACTGGCAAAAACGACAACTGGCGCGCTCCTGGTTGGTGTCCTCGAAATTCCCACTAAACGACAAGCTCATTAGCACCGTCCTCCACTCCTAACAAACCTCTAGGAGACACTAAGTTGAGGGTTGCCACGTTGAGGACGCAGCTGAGGAGGATTGAAAGAGGGGACATTAACGTAGGATAAAAATATGGAATGCAGAGAGGCAAAGAAATCATCACCTCTAAGTCTGTAGCTGCTCCAATGACCAGTCCCAGTGACTGTCCGACCAAAGCGGTTTGGACGCAAACCACGAGGAAGATCATGAATCGCGCGAATTCGGCCGGTTGGTCCGTCATCCAGTAGACTATGATGCCGTATATTAGCGGAAATATTATCTTGAGGAGAAAACAAAAGAACTCAAAAGAGGAATAAACAAAAGGAAAACCTCCAAGGCTTAAAAAAGCTGCAGAAGTAGAGATAAAAAGGTGGAAATAATAAAAGGGTATTCTGTTACCTTACAGCGGTAGTCTTCTAGGCAAAAGCATGCGTAACAAAAATAAGGAAGGCTGTCTAATTCCTGTTGAGTTTGCTGTTAACGAATAACAGTTCATATGAGAAGCGTTTAAGTCTTGTTTTATACAAAAACAAAGGTACGGATCAACTCTAGTTTGAAGATTGTGCTTTTTTTCAGAGTTTACTGCCCTCCGAAATAAGGACACCGTGTTTACATAGAAAAATTTTTAAACCCATCGAGACCCATAGGCGGCTGTTGACTAAAAATCATGAGTTTAGGAGTTTTACGGCAGTGCAGTGCCTCGAAGGTAAGGACAGAGCAGAACGTATTTCCTCCACTGATGGGGAACAACAGAGCGTAGTGTTAAAGCGTATGTGAACTTAGTTCCTAGTACTTAACTATGACAGTCCAAATTCACGTGGGCTAACTAGCAATTAACTTCCTTAGCGAGTCTCAGAGAGAAAATCGACTGATTTTAGCTTGAGAGAAAGCTAACTTTGCTCGACAGCGCATCGTCCCCGGTGCCTGCTTACGACGTCATATTCACGCACGCAGGCACGTCCACATTAAAAGCGGCTGCTCTGCCTACCTGTCCACGCATACCGGTTTGCTGCCCAACATGGTCAGATGTCTAAAGGAACCTGAGAAGGTAGGTAGGATTTTATAAAGTCGTTCGCTGTAGCCATACTTGATGTGCAGTCAGTAGGAGCTGCGAGGTGCAGCGGTAGTAACAACGGGGATTGGCTAAAAACTTCCATGGGTCTACAACGCATTCGCACACGCACATAAGCGCTCTCCTGGTGTTGAAAACTGAAAACGATCGTCCGTCGCATAAATTGTACCGTGATCAACGAAACGTGCCACCGTTGGCTATGACCGAAAGAGTAGCACTTTGGTCCAGAGGACTGGAACAAAAATGAGCATTTCTGTTTCGCCTTGCAGTTGCGGGTTTACAACCCAAGCAGGCAGTTGCATAACGACTGTCAACTAATGATCGATATGTTTTGTCGACAAAGATAGGGAGGTGGGAAGGTAATCGACGAGTTGGTAGGTCCTGTTCCCGAACATTTTGTGTGTATTTTCACTGTCTTTTTGCACATAAATGCCTGGCGGGCTGCCTGCGTGACCAGTTATCTCGACGGGGTCAAATGTTTGAAACCCAGCATGGTGATTTGTCAGCCGTCCCGTCGGATGAGCTGATTAGATTACCCCTAGTCGACCCCGCCGTTGACCTCGTTAAGTCAACCGCAGTCATTCTGTGCGTCCAGTACTTAAAATTCGAAGGGAGTTAGAAATGCCAATTGATAGAAATGACATTCGAAAACAAAACCTCGAGAGTAAATCGGCCTAATTTTTGACTGTCGCTGGTCAAAATGATCGTTCCTTGAAAGTTAAAGGTGTGGCCAGTTCGAAACGTCAGAAAGATAATAAACCTGTCTCGGTGATTTTTCCTTTCCGATAATCGCCCTGGGACTCTTGCTTTCGCTTTGTTGGACAATGACAACAGAACATTACCCCGTCATCCGAACCAGCGGCCATAGGGCTACTGGTTAAGTGCGGACAGTTAAAAACCAAATGGCCCTTCTCTGACAAGAATGTCTCCCCCAATGAGCATCTGCAATTGTACTATAATTTTGTAGGATAAAAGCCACCCTCAAAGGAGTTAAAAGGATACAATTGTCGAAATGTTAGGTTCCGCAGAAATGATCGGAAAGGTCCCCACATTCGATTGCAAATAGAATATACCCAGTCACCTTTCGAAGGTACGTTTCTCGCTTCTGCCAGAGCTCTAGTAATTAGTAAGGCTTGTGAGCAAAATCTTACATCCTCTATCATTCTAAATTGAAAGTTTGATATAAGTTCCATCAGTTAACGTCTTTTTAAAAAAACCGAACATCAGGCTGATGCCGGGTTAGACCCACCTGGAAGGGAAGATCTGCAAACGTCTTAGCCAAATAGTAGGCTTGGACGCTATACCAGTAGTTGAGATGTTCCGTAATGAAAACCCGCATTTCCAGTGGGACTAAAATAAATTTGAATGCTGATAAAAAGCGTCATGAGACAAATCGAAAATAATGAGAATTAGAACTAGTAGAAACCACCTGCTCTTCTTTACTTTACTTGTAAATTAGATGTTTCCCACAAGCGTGATTTTCAACGTCAAATCAGGAAGAGGGCCACCGAAGGTAGACATTGGTTCAGCGCATGAAAAACAGGCGCTGATCTCTGAACTTGAATAAGCCATATCTTATTTACTGGGATAGTTCACCAGTTAGACCTACGATAGGAGCACATCAGGGTGCCAGTTCAAGTTGGTTCTCAGTCCACAGGACGGAAGCATCTCGCTTACTGTTAATCCACAAAGCCAGGACTTTTAAAACCTCAAGGGAGCTCAGACGCGCTTCATATTTATTATAACGAAAAAAGGTCGCACACGGTCGGCCTCATTGGACCTTTACCCTCACACAGTGAATCACTGGGGAGACTGAGTCATGTCGACTGGAGATGAAACCTAGCGAAGCGGCATTTCGCCCCGAGAACGTCGTGT